AAAAAATGGAGGCGGACTCGGAGAGAGTGCAGTACATCGCCTCCCAATTCCAAAACAAGGACACAATCCCGGCCCAATTCATCCGCTCCGCCGCCGAGCAGCCAGCGGCGACCACCGTGCGCGGCGTGGTCCTCCAGATCCCGGTGATCGACGTCGGAGGCGGCGGCGGCGGAGACGAGAGCGAGATCGTGGGATTGATTAAGGCGGTGAGCGAGGATTGGGGGATGTTCCAGGTGGTCAACCACGGCATACCCGATGACGTCATCTCGCGGCTGCAAAATGCCGGTCGAGAATTCTTCGAGCTGCCGGTCGAGGAGAAGGAATTGATCGCGAAAACGCCGTCGTCGGGGATCGAAGGCTACGGGACGCGGCTGCAGCAGGAGGTTGACGGCAAGAAGGCGTGGGTCGACCACCTGTTTCATAAGATTTGGCCGCCGGCAGCGGTTAAGTACGATTTCTGGCCGAGGAATCCGCCGGGTTACAGGTGAATGTGTGCGTGCTTGAGTGAGCTTATTGTTTCTAAAAAAATATTTATAACTATATTTATATTTATAATAAAAAATAAACTAATCTATTAATATTGAAATAAAAAATATTTATTTATAGAGCAAATAAATACTAGTGTTGTTTTAAATATAAATAATATAAATTTAGAAAAAAATATATTTGAAATTTAAAAATGAAGACTTGTATTTACTATATTTTTATTAAAAAATAAGTTTCCTAACTACAACCCTTCCAAATGTAATGCACGAGTACTCTACTGGTTAACTTAAAATGGACAAAATTGGCAGGCAAGCAACTGAAGACTATAGGGAAAGGCTTAGAGAGGCATCCGAAAAGCTAATCAAGTGGCTCTCGATTGGGCTAGGGTTGGACGAACCGCGGCTCAAGGTGGCTATGGGTGGCGATGACACGGTTTACTTGTTGAAGATAAACTATTACCCGCCGTGCCCTCGCCCAGACCTTGCCCTAGGCGTGGTGGCCCACAGCGACATGTCGGCCCTAACGGTCCTTGTCCCGAGCGAAATCCAAGGCCTCCAGGTTTCTAGGGATGGGGAATGGTATGATGTTATGTACACCAAAAATGCCCTCATTGTACTCATTGGGGACCAAATGGAGGTACAAAATTCATCTACCTTCTAAAAACGTTTGTTTAGCTATTTGGTTTTTTATATTAGGTACATAAAAAATGCCCTTATTATACACATTGGGGACCAAATTGAGGTACAAAATTCATCTAACTTCCAAAAATGATTGTTTAGCTATATTGTTTGTTCACAAATTGCCCTTGAGATGAGGTGCATCATAGTTACACGAGTACATCGGTTCAAGGGACTCATGCTCAATTCTTCCCTTAAATTGGAGCCGGACAGGGTTGGTTAGCGGTTCTGGTTTTAGAATCGACTACTTTTTTAACTTTTTTATCTGGTTCTAGTTCCGGTTATGATTTGAATTGCATGTTCAAGGTGATCGAGAACTGGAGTGTGTTATTTTAGTTTCGATTCCGACTGTCAGTTGATCGACAGTCGAACCAGACATTTTGGGATGGAATTTCCTATTTTTTAGTTCAAAAACCATAGTTTGGGGAAAAAAAATAATTGTGGAGTCCCATCTTGATTTATGAATCCCTAGTAGCATTCCTTTCAATCTTTGCAAGCATATTCAGATACAATGCGCATTGTACGGTAAACATGAGTTTGAATCTTTCAAGTACAATCACACGATGAAAGATGACAGATTGAGACATTGAATAATTTGGCTAGATTTGGGTGGCAATTGCAATTCAACCACTTATAGTAACAATTTTTCTTTTGTCAATTTTACCTCTTCAATTTTGTCCATGTCGTTCAGTCTCAAGTTGTGCTGATATCAGTTGACATCAAACTTTGTATTTTATAATTATTCAAGTTTTAATTTAATAATATTTTGTCGTTCAGTAACAAACAAAAGTTATAATTATAATTGTCACCCTTTTGTTTACGACAGATACTAAGCAACGGGAAGTACAAGGCCGTGTTTCATCGCACGACGGTGAACAAGGAGAATACGAGGATGTCTTGGCCGGTGTTTATCGAGCCACCGGACGAGCATGAAATCGGGCCTATTCCAGAGCTTGTCGATGATAAAAGCCCGCCAAAATACAAGACTATGAAGTTTAAGGATTATGTTTACCGCAAGCTCAACAAGATTCCAATGTGACTGTTAATGGATAGATTTTGCTTGGTTTTGTTCATGTATTTGAATGTTGTAATGTTTACTAAGTTACTCCAAGGTCTATAGAAAAGAAACACTTGGACGAAATTAATGTAATTCCAATTATATATTTTAGTGATGGGGGTGCCTACGGTGACAGCACCTATGGTGCACCCTCCCTCACCATTGGATCATGTTATTTAACATGATCCATGTTATTTAACATGATCCAATGGTGAGGGAGGGTGCACTGTAGGTGCTGTTTAAAAATGCACCGTAGAGCCCCCCCACTCATATTTTAGGGAGTTGTTACGGTCCCGTTACGGAACAATTCCGTCGAAATTTGTAACCGTTAGATCAACTATCCCCGGTGGTTACATAGTGATCTAACGGTTACAAACCCGACGGAATGGTACCGTAACAGGACCGTAACATTTCCCATACATTTTATATATCAACATTGTGCGTTCGTCGTGCTCGGCGTGTCGGCGGTGTTCGTGCCTCGGAGCCTGCGCGCGTGCCTGTGCTCGCTGCTCCGCTGTGTTGCGCCTGCATGCGCACGCCTCTGCGGCGTGTCTACGCACGAACAACACTGATTCAAGAGTATGTTTGTAGCAAAAACTTAAAAGAAACCAAACAGTTTTTCTTGTCTCTAATTGTATCCCTTGGCCCAGACAGGTACAGAGTATATTAGAGTTCCCAACACAAATGATGTTAGAAATGTAATAGTTGCATAAGCATAAGCCCTCCATGGATAATCACTTTCTCTCATTGCATTAAACTCGGCAATAAAAGTAGAAACCGTACTCAGACAGCCGAGCAGCCCGAACTGGATACCCGAGGCCACCGTATCACAATTCTTAGTGTTAACCTGTACATAACAAACCGACTTGGTGTTAGGCTATGTTTGGTAAACCTGACTGATAAGCTAGCTTATAGCTTGTAAGCGAATTTAGAGAGTATAGTTGATAGATTATGAGTTATGGCTAAAAATTAACTTATATGATAAAAGTGTTTAACAAAAATTAGCTGATAAACTAGCTGAAATAAAAATTTTAATGAGCTTATTTGAAAAGTTACCCAATAAAACTTATGAGACAAGGTCGAGTTTTTAAAGATGCTTGTCCCACCAAACCAACCAAACTTATTTGAATACAACTATACGATTTTATCATTAAAATTATATTAAAAATAAGGATACAACATATGTCATGGATGAATAGAAGAAACTGATAAATGTGTGTTAATTAGAATGAAGCTAGTTTTTCAGGCATACGTCATAAGCTATCAGTTATACGCTCAAAATTCAAGCTTATATGATAACAGTGTTTAGAAAAATTAGCTGAAATAAAAATTTCAATTGGCTTATTTGAAAAGTTACCCAATGAAACTTTTGAGTTAAAGTCGAGTTTTTTAAAGATGCTCGTACTACCAAACCAACCAAGCTTATTTGAATACGGGAAGATTATAAGCTTAGCTTATATGTTTACCAAGCACAACCTGAAAAATAAAAAAGTTATACGGCAAAAAGGGGCAGTAACTGAGATTTCTTACTGCTTTCTTGAGTGTTGCTAAAGCTGCCATCACACAAGCTGCAAGGACATTTGCAGCAAGAGTCCCGAACGGCATCCATTTTACCACGCCTTGTTTACCCAATCCACGCCCGTTAAAACGGGCCAAGAACCACCTGGCCCACACGCCAAAAGGCCCAACCGTGCAAGCCAGAAACAGCTCGGGCCCACTACCACCCGATTTGAACTCTTTCCCTGCTAAGCTTCCGAACAAACCCCATAACAGAACTAACATCACCAAAAGCATCACCATGAATGTGCCATTCGAAATATATGAACCGTGGCACGTTTTAGTGCCGTAAAGTGATCTCATATCCGATTTTGTTAGAAGCCATTTGAATCCTTTTGCAGTCTCGATCCCGAAAATTATAGAATACGCGACTAGAAACAATCCTGGCAAGAAATATGGGGCAATATAAATGATTTACATATTAATAAAATCGAAACAATCTCGAAAATTTTATGTAGTTTTTGTATTATTACCTAATAAAATGCCGAGCACGGAAAATACCCACCGGCCCTCGAGGCTGAGGTCAAGCATCTTTTGATTCCAAGCACTGAATGTTGTTAGGCTCCCTAGAAATCCTGTTGTCAGCCCAATAGCTAATTGGTCCGAAATTTGCGAAATGTCCGGTTTAAAAACAACACCTAACCAACCCATCAGAAAAGAACCAACCTGAAACAAGACCAACAAACAATCAACCAGCAAAATATTGATATAATTAGTGATAGTTAAACAAAATGGGATCGTGTGGGAGTTAAGTAGCTATAGAACTTATGTACATCACACAAAACTCACACAAACACACACACACACACACACACACACAGAGAGAGAGAGAGATAGAGAGACCATATTTGAAGGAAGATCGAGGTACATGTAACTATGATCACTTGTTGCACCAACTAAATCGGGTCCAAAGAGCTTCTGAAGGCAATATCGAGCTAGAACCTAGCATTCAATAACATTTAACGAAATCAAAAGAATGATAAAATATTCCCCAAAATCTCAAATAAAAACGACAAACTCCAAGAAAAAAAAAAGCCCAAATAGAAAAAACATCATAAGAAAGGCGATTTCGCGGCTCACCCCTAAAATTCCGAACACAGCAAGTGAAAGGAGACATGTAACATACTCCAATAACCAATGCACTTCTTTCAATTCCTGCAAATCTATCACAAGTTATAACTATGAGAATGCACTAAAGGGAAACTCTTTAACTTTTAGAAGAAATTATTTGTGTGGTAAAAATTTAACTGTAACAAGTAAACTCGTTCGTTCATTCATCAATATCATCCCACAAACGCATAACATTAACAGAAGAAAAAATAAATAAGTAAAACTTGACTCACATCCTTATTCCCTTGAGATGGAACAACCTCGTTATTCGCGAAGCTGTCCAACGAGAAACTGTTGTAATGGCCTGAACTGATTCGGTTACTGTGGAGAGCTCGGTCCCCAATGTCCCCTGCTTCCGAAACGGACTCATTCTCATCAAAGGTCTCGTTTATTTGTAGAGAATGCCCTCTAGAAGAAAAACTTTCACGGCTCAATCGCCCGAAAGAACTACTTTTTCTTGGTTCTAGTGCTTGATTCTCACGGTCCATCCTGTTTTTAGCTTTTCTTTTTTCTTATGGGATTATGGAATCTCAACTGAGAATTTAGGGGGGGAAGTTTTAATCAAGTAATAATAATAATTAAACAAGAATTTGTTTTCTGAACAAGCTGATTAGTAGAGTAATGTGAATTGTGAAGTCACTTGCATTGAACTATTACAAAGAACCACAACTAATTACTCCATTGTTGAAAACTAATCGAAGCGCCCGTTTCAGTGAATAACATAATCAAGCACAACATGACAGAAACAAAAGCATATTGCGAAAACAACACGACTAACGAGCCTTAACGAGTCAAACTTCAAGCTCAAGCCGATAAATGAGCTCGAAGCCAGTTCGTCAACGAGCCTTAACAAGTCAAACTATGCCAAAAAAAGTTCATAAAATTACGGAAAAAAACTCCTATTTGTCAAGGCTAACGAGTCTTAAACCCTCGGCTAGTCAACGGTCCTTAAACAAGCTCGAGCCTAGCTCACGAACGGCTCGTTTCGTTTAACGATTCATATCATATAAACAAACTAACACCATCCTAGTTTAGAACACAAAAATGAAATTGCCAAAATAATTAAAAAAAAAAAACATTAGAAAGTTGAATATAACCAAGGAGGGCCCAATAGTTGTACCTTCCTTTACATACTTTTGAGAAGGAAATCAAGAACATGAAAGTCCTCAAATAATCACTCCATTCTGCAAACACAACAAAACAAAATCAAGAAAACCAAACGATAACACGCATAGAGGATTAATGGCCTTCAGGAGAAATTTTTTTTTATTATTATTAATATTTCTTCTTTTTTTTTTTTGGCTTGGGATTTTTAGGGATTTTGTAGATGGTGTTAGTCTTGATAGAATAAGATGAAATTAATTTAGTTTTATTATATATATTCATGGACAATTTGGCGCTGACGAATGAGATGGGACACGAGATTCTGCAATAATGGAGGGCTGTTATTTATTTGACGTGTTATGGGTGGCAGCCATTTATTGCCTGATTTTTTTTTAATTTTTTTTGGCCTGAGTTTTAAGATATTAGCATTGATGAATTGTGGCCAGTCAACCCGCGGGCGGTCCTCCCGGCGCGTTAAAATCTAATAGGGTCGGCCCGTGGAATCGGGCCTGTCCTGGACCGCCGGGACAAAGAAAAAAAAGGAGAACCGAACACGGTCTGTAAAGCCACAGTGTCGGTTCTCAGAACCAACAATTTACAGGCCGGTTGCGGGCTGGGCTGGGACCGGGATGGCGGCACCCTGTGGTCATGTCTAAATGAGGAGAGGTTTAATGAGAGAGTTGACTAATGGACAATGACAAATGTTTGTACATGAGGAAGATGAACGATTTGTATTGGCTGATTGACAAAAACTTGAGAAATAAGAAATCAAAATCAATAGGTTTCTAGCACAAATCCTGGCGCTTAAACCTATGTTTGGTTCTGGAAAACGGAGGGGAAGGGAAGGGAAGGGAAGGAAGGGGGAGAAATTTTTTTTATTTTTGCCTTGTTTGGTTTGATTTTTTGTAGGGAGAGGAGTTTGGATTTTCTCTTCAAAGCACTTCTCCAAAGGAAAATACCCTCCCCTCCAAAAGTGGAGGAATTTGGAAGGGAAGAAAAACTTTTAACAATAAATTACTCTTTTGATCTTAATGTGAATTATTTTTGTTTTTGTTTCTTACATGAATAAGAATATAACTGTCATTTTTACAATATTTTTCTTCCTTTCCATTTTTCTAACCAAACAAGGTTTACTATTTTTCCTCCCTCGCCTAGGGATGTGATGGAGACGAGGCCGCGTTGATGTTCTTGCAGAAATATGACCGTTTGCGTGTCTAACACATTTATTTTTATTGCTTTATTTTCCTTTTTGGTCTATTTGTCTTTATTGGTTGCAATTGTGTTATTTTATTAGTAAGAGGGTGTTTCTTTAATTATTAAGATTCATCGTGTTTTAGTGGAGTTAGTGGAAACTCCTTATTTATGTACTGCGAACAGAAGAGAAAAAACAATTTATCGATTGAAATAAAATTATCTGTTCTCTCTTGAGATTGTTCTTTCCCTTTCGTATACATCCTCTACATCAGTATACATCCGTCGAGCTGGTGAGTTGCTCTTATTTTTGGCCTTCTTTGCGCCGTGATGTTGGGTGTTTTGTGTCTCGTTGCCGTGTCTGCCAGATATCGAAAGGTGTTGCCACGAATGCTGGTTTATACCGTCCCCTTCCTATTCCGTCGCAGCCATGGCAGGCCATCAGTATGGACTTTGTGTTGGGCTTGCCTCGTACACAGAGGGGTTTTGATTCGATTTTTGTTGCGGTGGATAGATTTTCGAAGATGGCACACTTCATTCCGTGTAAACGGACCACTGATGTTGTCCATGTGGCCCAGTTGTTTTTTCGAGAGATCTACCGCCTTCATGGTCTGCCTTCGGCGATTGTCTCTGATCGCGATACCCGCTTCTTGAGCTATTTTTGGAGAAGTTTATGGCGTATGGCAGACACTAGACTCGACTTCAGCAGTGCCTATCATCCTCAGACAGACGGTCAGACTGAGGTGGTGAATCGTTCCTTAGGGAACTTGCTCCGTTGTTTGGTGGGGGATAACATTCGCAGTTGGGACCAGCGCCTGAGTCAGGCGGAGTTCGCGCATAATTCGGCTCTTAGCCATGCGACCGGGTTCACTCCTTTTCTTGTGGTCTATGGCATCCATCCGCGTGGGCCGTCCGACTTGGTGGCGTTGCCGTCCGGCAGCAGTGGCGATCGGCGTGCTTCGGATTTCATCGCCGATGTGCAGCAAACACACGAGGTAGCCCGGGCCCAGCTGGAGGCGACTACGGCTTCTTATAAGAAACATGCTGATATTCGTCGTCGCCACGTGGAGTTTGAGGTAGATGATTTTGTTTGGGCTGTCTTGACGAAGGATAGATTTTCTGCTCATGAGTATAATAAATTATCTGCTCGGAAAATTGGTCCAGTGGAGGTTGTGGAAAAGATCAATCCCAATGCCTACCGTCTCAAGCTTCCGTCACATATTCGCACTTCGGACGTTTTTAACGTCAAGTATTTAGTGTCGTTCGAGGGTGACAACTCGGTCGAAGACGAGGCCCATTCGAATTCGAGGGCGAATCCTCCTCAACCCGGGGAGGATGATGGAGACGAGGCCGCGTTGATGTTCTTGCAGAAATATGACCGTTTGCGTGTCTAGCACATTTATTTTTATTGCTTTATTTTCCTTTTAGGT